GGGGTGTCTCACGGAGAGTAGTTCCCCCCCCGGCAGATTTGAAACGGGATGGGACGCGTGTTTGGAGGAAAAGGAGCATGGGCGACCGGCCTCCCCTGAACCTGGGGGCAGGTGCCCCCCTACCACTCCCCAGTGAAAGGGGGCATCGGCCGCCTCTGAACCAGATCTGGAGAGCTGTGAAGGAGAGGATCAGTAGGAAACGCCTGGTCAGACCCACGTCCTTGGCCTGGCCGGTGCGACACAGGTGCGAGGGACCTACAGCCAGAGCCGGTTTACGGCAATTGTTACGTTCTTACGATAAACCCAGAGATTTCGATGGGAATCCGCAGGGCCCAGAACATCCTGCCTCCTTGTAGGCTTTCCGAGTGCTTTGCAACAGAAGCTGCTCTAGTATTTTCCTGTAGGCAAAAATAAGGCAAAACTAAGAGCTGGCATTTTCTGAGGGGGCAGCCTTGAGTCTAAAATGGAGGAGCACCGGTAGAGACTGGCCTCTCCCGTCCCCTGAATCCCCGGACGAGCCTGGCCCGAGCCCCCGAGGCTCTTGGCCGGAAATCGGAGAATCGCCAGTTTGTTTCTTCCGCGTCCAGCAGAGCTTGGTGCCGAGGGGCTGGAGGACTGGTGGATTCCCAGTGGCCGGGGAGCCCGTGACCAGCGTGCGTCCCTCGTGCGTCTCGCAGGAGGAGGCGACAGGACTTGCCGCAGGTCACAGCTCGTCCGCGTCTATGGCTCCCCTGGGTCCCAGGCCAGTCCCCTTCCTACGGGGCCATCTCTCCTTCTCTGTTAAAGTAGCTGGTGACGCAAGTATAGTTTTGTGTGTATTCACCTATTCCTGGCACCTGAGTGGATGAAGGAAAACAACAATTTGAAGAGTTGATTATTTAGTTAAATATTACAAACCAGTTATTGAGTCATGGCAATCAGTGTCTTGTCTGGGCAGTCTTCTGTGCCGTGGTGCGTGCAGCGTCAGTGCGTGACAAGCAATCAACAGTCCTTGCTGCCCTGTCGGTGTGCTGAGCACTGCACGTACAGATCCGCGGCGGTGAATATCACACATTGTCGCAGCGTTTCACATGCTGGAAAAGCACGCCGCAGCTCTAAGCAGTGGCATCCACCACTTGCAACGCAGCCACATCTGGAGTGGAGTGGGGCAGCGTTTAACAGCCCCCAGTCCCATCATACCACACCACAGCTGAGATCAGGTTGGACTGTGAGCTCCTCAAATGGGTTCTCCTCCACTCCTGTGGAGTGGACCTTTTTAGGTAAAACCCTCAAAAAGTCATGGGAAATGGGAAAATAGTAGGAGTGTGCGAAGTGGGCCCTATTCAATTCAGATTCGGCCCAGATCAGGGACAGTGATTTGATTCGTTGATTCAGATCACTGTCCTTGATTCGAGTCGGCCAAATCTGAATCTGAAGATTCGATGCTGATTTGGAGAATCAGTGATTCAGCCACAGACACAGCTTTAAAAGTTTTTTCTACATACCTCGAGGTAGCAGGTGCGGCTGGTGATCGCTGGGATGCTGGGGCGCATGGAGTGTCCCGCAGGAGTGCGGGGGAGGGGAGACCTGCACGTGCTGGGTGGTGGACCTGGAAGCACTTCCGGTCCACTTCCGGGTCTGCCAGGGAGCGCGCTGGCCCCCCCACGTTCCCCCAGGTCAGCGATCAGCCGCAGGGGGCTCCGGGGGCCCATCCCAGACCCAGGAGGCACCAGTCACTGAACCGGGGCGGGAGCCCCTTGGCGCACTCCCCAGAAGACCCGGAAGTAGACTGGAAGTGCTTCTGGTCCACTTCCAGGTCTGCTGCTGAGCACACTGGGGAGCCCCCTGCGCTCCTGTGGGACGCTCCATCCATCCCACCATTGCAGCATTCACGAGCCGCCTGGTACTTAGAGGTATGTAGAAAAAACTTTTAAAGCTATGTCTATGGCTGAATCACTGCTTCTCCAAATCAGCATCGAATCTTCAAATTCAGATTTGGCTGAATCGAATCAAGGACAGTGATCTGAATCAATTAATCGGTTCAATTCAGATTCAGAGATTTGGCCACCAAATCAGGCTGGATCGAATCAGGGACCAAAGCTTCGTGCAGCCCCAGAAAATAGTCACCCGGACTCTGCAGTAAACCAAAGTATTAATTAACATATTGCTAACAGTTCAATTTGTTGATAAAAATGACAGAAAATAAAAAAAGTTGAAATCATTGACATTTGTGAAAATGTTGACTTAGAAGCAAGACCTTTTTGACAGAAAATTATTGTTGTTCAGAAAATTCTGTCAGCTCTAACATTAACATAAAATGAAAAAACAACACGTGATGCCTGTTGTCTACAATCGAAACAGAAAGAGGCATTTTTAACGCAGGCATTAATAACCGAACTTGGAAGTTGACCAGGATGCTTACTGAATTTAGTATTGTTTTTCCTAAGAAAAGCGCCAAGGGATTATTTTTAATGTACTTTAAAATATAATTTATTAATTAGAAATCTTTAATCAGAGAGTTCTCATTTCAGTGGTATCTTGGGAGGGGAAAGAACCCCTCCCCTCCCTTTGCAGTAATACTGCATTCAACTACAGCAATAGGCAGCAAGGCCCTATTACAAACAATCAAAGTTAACTTTTCATTAAGCAGTGAATCCTTGGCAGTGATGCTTTGCATGCATCTGATGCGCTTTTTCCAGATGAGTTCAGAGCACTTCGCAAGCATTAATTAAGCCTCCTGGCACTTCATTCTGTTTTTCTCACTGTTTTTCACACCTTTTTTCCCAGTGTCCTCCTTCCATTTGGAAATTACTGGAGGACCCAGGATCTACCTAGTTCTATAGTAACTCAGTCACTATTTTACAGGGCTCTGGAACATACGTCAGTGAATCCCAGGTGCTCTTGCAGCCAATGTTTCCCTTAGGGTATACTAAGTCACCGCTCCTAACAGCACTCAAAGGGGACGTAGAGCATTGGTGCAGGAGGAAAGGCATTTACAGCTCTGTCTTGAAGCCTTCATAGTCCAAGGCCTGTAATCCAACCAAGTAAGCATGCACTGGTTACTTAAACAATTTCTAAAAAATGAGCATTCAGTTCTTGGGGTGCGTTACTCCAAGCAGCATACTAGGCAGCATACAACCTTGAGGGAGCTAGGACAAGGCTCGGGGTAAGGTGATGTGGTTACTCAGTTGTAAGCAAACCTACCAAGCTGTGGTGGTGACTGTGTGGGTTACCTCCTGTCAGGGCCAGATTAACTCATTAGCGGGCCCTAGGCAAACAAACTCGTGGGCCCCTACTTTTTTTCGCTCAATAATTTTAATATGGCCCCTTCTTCAGTTAGGGTCCTAGGCATGTCCCTAGTTTGCCTCTGTGTTAATTCAGCCCTGCCTCCTGTTTTGTAGGTGGCCCCAGAAATGTGCCTTGTGAGATCATTAAGGTGTGGGCAGCACCACTGAGACCTGCATTTGGGACACAGAGTCAGGTTTGGGGATGCCATGCACAGGCCTGGGAATGGAAGGAGGTACTAAAGATTCAAAGGGTGCTGGTACAGAGGAAGGAGGTAGACGTATAAAATTATGCAGTGCCGGTTTATGTGCGGGGAGAAGTGGGATTGAAACCCATAGAGCTCCCAGGGCACCACAGCCTGCTCCTCCTAACAGATTCACACGATGGGACTTTCTTCTCACTTCCCTCATACATGTGAATATAGATGAACACACGCTGTGTGACTAGGCAGCCTGGATATTAATTAGCAGCAACTGAGAAAGCAAGAGAAAATGAAAATGAGATCCTGGGAGAGCTTCTACTCTGGTACAATTTAAGAAGGTGAAAAAAATCTGCTGCCTAAAAGAAATAGTAACCTATATTTAATGCAAAGCATGCAAGCAGGCTATCTAGGCAGGGGCTGGGCAGAGATGCTTTATAAGCTGTAGGGTGAGCAGAAATTGATGGGGAAGATATTCACAGTTCGAAGGAAAGTATGAACATGCCATAGATTCAAAAAAAATAAAAAGTCCCGATGTCCTCTGTCACCCTGCAACCTGTTGCACAGATCAGCGAGCTGAGCCTTTCAGCATATGGCAGCCTGGATTCTGGATGGCCAGGCTTGTGCCTGATGGGTCGCCTGCCAATGCCTTTCATACCAGGAAGCTCCTTTAGCCCTTGTGTTTCCAGTTACGCCTTTCATACCAGGAAGCTCCTTTAGCCCTTCTGTTTCTAGTTATCCTGCCAGTCCAGTGTCCCACCTGGATGCTCTGCCCTGGTGACTCACGCAGGGGAGCATGAGCAGCTTTGACACTGGACTTGGTTCACCTTTGCAAAACTGTCTTC